AATCCATATGGGGTCATTTCATATGTTCTTTACCATATTCTTCTGTTCCCTGTTATTTCCTGTGATTTGGTAAACTCCATCTAGAAGCTTGACCAAATTTAGGTTCTATTTTGTTGGCAAGATGTCTTCACACGTGATATATTTTTCCATCTGGATGCCCAAAAATATGCTTGTCTCTCTTGTGATACTAGCAGCCATTGGTGTTCAATGCCCAGATCCAATTAATCTATTAAGAATTGCAAAAATGGTGATATTATAACAATAATTCAATCATTCCTACTTCATTTTTTAACTAAAATACTTTGTAAGAAGAAATTGTCCCTCATTTACAATTTGGAAATTTGGCTTTAACTGGTGTTATTTTGTCTGGGAGGGGAACATACTAAGTAACAAATTGGAAGTGATTAATTTATCTGATAAAAATATATGATAAATCATTTTCTTTAAGGTTGTAGAAACCCTCACCTTGAGGGAAGAAGAGAATATAAATACAACTGAGGGAGAGGTGGTAAATGGTGATCAGAAACCTGGACTATCTAGGAAGAAAAGTAAAGAAAGAAGAACACAGATGCTTAAAGGTAACATTTTGCTAAGTCTATTCTTATTTGGCATAAAAATTCTGATGTGGAAGCCCATTTTATGGCTTCAAATACTACTTACTTACTGAGGACTCCTGCATCCATACCTCTATGTCAGATCTCTCCCCAGGTTTTGCACTATATCAAAACTTTACCTGAGCCCTGGCCGGTTTGGCTCAGCGGTTAGAGCGTCGGCCTGCGGTCCTGAGAGACCCGGGTTCGGTTCCCGCTAAGGGCGCGTACCTTGGTTGCAGTTTGTCCCCAGCCCTGGTCGGTTGTGCGGGTGGCAGCCACTCGATGTATTCCTTTCACATCGATGTTTCTCTCTCTCTGTTCCTCTCTCTCCCTCCCACTCTACCTGAACAAGGGATGGAAAAATGTCCTCGGGTGAGGATAAAACAAACAAACAAACAAACAAAAAAACAACAACAAAAAAACAACTTTACCTGACATCACTACTTTGATGTCTAAAAAACATCTCAAAGTTAACATATCTAAAATGTAACTTATAGTTTTACCTCTGAATTGTGAGTCATATCTTCCCTGTTTCAATAAATGGCAGCACCATCCACCTGTTGCTAAAGCCCCCCCAAAACAAATAAACAAACAAACAAAAAAACCCAGGAGTAATCTTTGACTTCTCAATCAATCACCAAGTGCTGTTGATTTTACCTTGAAATTTTTAATTTCTTTTTTCTATTATTAATGACATTACCCTAAACCAAATCACAACTGTTGAGAAACAACTGGATGATTACAATAGTTTTCTGGCTTACCTTCTGACATACTGGTCTCCTCTAGTTCATTCTCCACAAAAAGGGAGAGGGGTCTTTCTAAAATGTTAATCAGGGATTATGAGCTGATATCATTGAATCTGTGTGATGGATTCATTAAACTAATTTCTTCCCCTCTGTATATGTTTGAAATGTCAAAATTTTAAAAATGTTATTCTGATTTTATCTTATTCTCTAATAATTTTACTACTCTGCCGACTTTTCAGTGTTCTTAAACTACAATTCAAATGTCTTGCATAGACTAGTGAGCCCCGGTTTCCCTCTGTCTACATGCCCAGCCTTATCTGATGCCACTCTTCCAGTTCACTCTGCCCAGGCCATAACCTGTGAGTTCTACGAACACTTTAAGCTCTTTCTTATTTTACAGCATTTTGTACTTGGCTATTCTCTGTACCAGAAAATGCTCATCCCATAGCACTCTGCAAAATTGGCTCCTTCTCTTCCTTCAGGTCTCAGCAAAAATATTACCTCCTTGCCCTGGCTGGTTTGGCTCAACAGTTAGAGCGTCAGCCTGCGGACCAATGAGTCATGAGTTCCGTTCTGTCAAGGGCACCCACCTCAGTTGCGGTTGGTCCCTGGCCCTGGTCAGGGTTGTGCGGGAGGCAACGAGTGGATGTCACATTGATGTTTCTCTCCCCCCTCCCCTTTCTCCCTCCCTCCCTCCCACTCTATCAGAAGATAAAATGGAAAAAAAATATCCTCGGGTGAGGAAAAAGACAAAATTACCTCCTTAGAAAGGCCTTTCTTAACCACTCAATCTAAAGCAGATCCTCTTCCTTCACCATTTCTCTCTATCATATTATTCTGTTTATTTCATATCTTACCACGATTTAAAATTATCTTGTTTATATTTATACAAATATACTTGTTATGACAAGAAAGTAACTCAAATGAATGTTTAAAGGTATTTGAGAGCATATACCTACTCCTATTCTATTCATTTTATAATTCCAATTCTTTGAAAAATTAGTGGATGGAATACAAATTTTAAGAATCTTGCTTCATTACAAATTCATTGCTAGACTGACAAACCTCAAAAGGAAAGGGGTTGGGGGGTGGGAAGAACTTATATGCATAACCAATGGACACAGACAATAGTGTGGGAAAAGGCGGGAGGGGGGCATGAGGGGGGTTGGGGGTCAATGAGGGAAAAATGGGAACATCTGTAATACATTCTACATTCAACAATAAAGATTAAAAAAAAAAGACTCTTGCTTCATAAAGATTTATTAAAAAATAAGATTTTGATCTGGAGAGTCATTTCTTGAAATTTTAGGGAGTGGTATGAAATACAGAGTGGGGCAAAAGTAGGTTTACAGTTATGAGTATGCAAAACAGATTATTTTTGTATTATTTATTAATTATTGTATTATTTTCCATAGGATGAATATAAACCTACTTTTGCCCTGCTCTGTATGAATTGAAGGAGAAATTAGAATTAGAAATGTGTATTTAAATATACTCTTCCTTTGTAGATTTCTCAGTGTTTTCAAAGTGCTAAATAATTTTAAGTGACAGCTATTGTTTGACTTAAATGACTAAATTCTGGAATTATATTCTGTATTATTAACATGACATGTCTCTCGTTTTTAGGGCCAATATTTACGTTTTACCAGCTGTTAGTGTCAGGCAACTCCCCTAATTGAAGAATTCATCAGGTATTTTTGCGGATCCTCTCCTCTGCCAGTAGTTGTCCTGATATTGTGTCATAAAACTAATCTAAATTGTGTTATACCAAAAGCAAGGATACATAAGCCACCCTACCAAATCAGGGAGCAGATGGGAACTCTGTCAAGTATTTGAAAGATGCCCCTAGCATAACAGAATTTTAGCACTGGAAGATATCTTGGTGATCATGTAACAATCCAAGGCCCTTATTTAAAAAGGGGTGAAACTGCTGTTCTAATAGGTTAACTGCTTTACTGTTCCCAAACATAATTTCCTAAACTGGCATCTCAAGTTTTACTTTGAGAAGAGCCTTAAAGAATTACATAGTAAGTTAGTAGCATATCAAGATCTGGAATACAGGGCTTTTATGCCATTAAGCCCATTATTTTCATTATATTAAGATAAATACCCCTTTTGCCACCTTTCCTGCATCTTTTTTTTTTTTTTTTTTTTATCCTCACCGGAGGACATTTTTCCATTTTTTTGTTCAGATAGAGTGGGAGGGAGGGAGAGGATGAGAGAGAGAGAGAAATATCAGCATGAGAGAGACACTTTGAGTGGCTGCCACCCACACAACCCCAACCGGGGCTGGGGACAAACTGCAACCGAAGTACATGACCTCAGCGGAACGAACCTGGGACTCTCTGGACCGCAGGCTGATGCTCTAACCGCCTAGCCAAACTGGCCAGGGCTCCTGGATCTTTTGAGCCTTTAAATCTTTTCATATTATTCCAGTGACCTCTGTATTTCTGCGATAGCATCAAGATTTCTATTTTTTTCTTCTTTTTAAAAGTGGTTTGATTTACCAAAATATCAAACTAATAGTAAATAAACTCAATTGAACACATTTCATATTGTCACTCTTTTAAGTCTATTAGCCTTTGGGTTAATGGCTGCACATAAGTTTTGTACAAATTCTTTGAAAACTTACTTGTGGACTTGAATGAAGGGTGTTGAGTAGAGAAGATGGACATCTCTTATGTAAAATAAATGGGTACTCAAATTGATAATGTTAACACATTATCAATGTGGTAATGCTGATTAATCATTTATGAGGCCCAAGTTCATTGTAACTACTGGCACTCTGATGCACAAACCAGTCTAGAGACTAGAAACGATTCCGTTTCCCTGCATTTCACATAGTTAAGGGGCCCTGGGCAAGTCTTTATAATCAATTCAAGAATGCTCCACATACCTCGAATATGTCAGCACAACAGTTTTCCCATTTCCCCCAGCTGTTGATGAAAGCCTAGCTTGCCTGTTCGGACAGTGATGGATCCTGACCATCTCCTAGTTCAGGGTTTTAAAACATACCCATAAAACAACTGATCCTTTCCTCCCCTCTGGCAGAACCACACCCAAACCTATCCAACCGGATGACATTTCCTCCTGTTTTTATGTAGTAGCAGATGGATTCCATAACCTTTCATCATCGTTTGCTGGGCACTCACAGTGGGCAAAATTCTGGTGGCAATTCCATCCCTCACAGCAGGATCCTGACATCCCAGAGTTGAAGCCCACTTTCTGACGGATGAAACGCACCGAAGCGTTTAGGGGCACTCAGTCACAACCCACCGACCAGGGGACAGGCCTCGATCCGCCTGGCTCCTTTAGTGTACTCGCAGGGGGTGCTGCGGAGCGGCAGAGGGGTGCTGAGCTGAAGGACCCAGAGCCGCAGCTCGTGGGCCAGGGTGGGCGCGCGTCCTCTCGCGAGAACTCGCGGGGTGGGGGCAGCTGGGGCCAGCAGGAGGAGGCTAGGGGCAGCGCTGCGCCGGCCGTGTGGCTGTTCTCCCGGCCCGAGAGGCTTTCCCCGCCTCCCTCTCCTTCCCCTCCCATTGAGAGATTCAAGCCCAGCGCTTCCCACTTCCGCCCCCTCTGCCATTGGAACTCGAGACCAAGCAAGTTGCGGCCGCAGAACAGCCGGCGCTGCCCTCCAGCACCGCTCCTCGTCTTCCTCGCCTTTCCTCCTCTTCCCTGGCCGCCACTGTCGCCGCCCCGAGGCCTCGCGACCGCCGAGCCCGCAGCCCACGCCGCGGCCGACATGAGCTTCTTGTTGTGAGTAGCCAGGCCCCACGCGCACCGGCTTTGTTCAGGCGACCTGGGCCGCGGCCCCCGCCCGCGCTGTCGGATCGGGCGTTCCCACGAGCAGGGCTCCGGGAACCTGCCGAGCGCTCCCGCCGCCCGCCGCCGTCTCCCCGCCCGCCCCGAGCACGCGTGGAACCCCCCGGCCCAAGGAGGCTCCCCGAACCCCCAGTCTCCACACACCCTGTGCCTGCATTCGCATTTCTCCATCATCCCAACCTCCCTCTCGGGTTTGTTTATTTGCATGCTCTGAATAAATACCTCCCACTCGCCGCATGACCCATATGCGACTCGTACCCGGTCCCCTGTCTTAGTCTCTCTCCCCATTGCTTTTTTTTCTGGGTCCCAAGGACAGAAGGTAGAGCGTCGTACTTGACGACCTTCACCCCAGGACCCTTTTAACTTAGGTTTTAGGAGTGGGCAGTTGGGATGACAATTCCTGTGGATGTAACACACTTAACCAGGCTGTTCACGGGTCAGGACCCCTTGATGACAGCCTGGAGTCTTGGGGTCTGGAGCAGTTCCTTGCTTCCCTAAGGCATGCTTTTCTGAAGAATGTGGGCTTTATCTTTTGAGACAACCACCAAATAGGAACTGGGTAGTGTGCCCTGGGTTGATTAGGTCCCCTGGAGAATTGTTTTGCAAATCATTTGTAAATGACAACTTAACCTCACATTTAGTACTGGCTGTCATTTCCCCCTATCATTTATTACAGACGTGTTGCGGGGTGGGGTATGGGTAGAAAGATGGGATGGCCAGATAGGGGTATGGCGGCAGCAGGCCAGCCTCACGTTCTCGGGAAAACAAGACCTTACATTCTACAGAGTTAGTCTTTTGAAGGCTTCGTTGTGATTCACCTAATGTTTAATTTGTGTTTAGAAAGCTAGTAAAAACTCTGAGATTGAAACCCACCCCATACATTTTTAACTGTTGTGGAGAAAATAGCATTTAATGATCATTTTCTGTTCTGATGCTTTTTCCCCACCTCACATACTTTTTAGTGATCACCTTGGCACTTTAATCCTGAGAATTTAACCCATATTGTCACATGCTCATATCTAGAATATTAATCATTTTTAGGGTGTTTAAGCAAAACTGAGCGATTACAGAAGGCTGACTTGTGAACAGACTTGCTAATATTTCTGACATGCATAGGGGGCCTGTTTTGTTTTTTTTGTCATTCTGCCTAACACATTTGAGGTTGTGAAGCCTTTTTTACAGGGCTCATCCTAGAAGTTGAGTTTGCCAGATATGTGGTGATAGATGAGAGGGCTGGGTGACTTCATGAAAGTCTTTGTTTTCTATTTTAGTTTGAATCAACATAGCCAGGCTTCTCAGCTTGAAGATTCTCATCTTGAGTCTATTTACATTAGTGATGTTTGATTTCTTCAAGAGTTTAAAAGCTGTCTTCAAAATAATAATGTAGATGATGCCCATGACTGCTGCTGATGGGCTGATGTCTCTTTGAACTCCTAGCTAAATTGGTTGAAGCAGGAAAGAACCATATTTGGCGGAAACTAGGGGATGGCCAAGGTTTGGTGGTATTTTCTGAATACAAATACAATAGTTTCCTATTTTTACATGGTTCAGTATTTAATAGTTACAGAAATGCAATGGATAAGCTTATTTCTCCTGAATTGTATTAGCTACCTAACATAAATTTTGTCATAACTTTTATATATATATGTATATATGTATGTATGTGTGTGTGTGTGTGTGTGTGTATATATATATATATATATATAGCAGATTAGAGGGTTTGTACTGTTTGGGGCACTATTTTTCAGTCAGATCACATGTAACTGTTAATATATCCTCAACATCTTTAGTCTGTGTGCTTAATAATCCAAAAGAGTAATCTAACATTTTTGGTTTTGGTTTTTGTCCATCATTAGTTTAGAATCTGAAGTGAAGACCTTGTAGGTAGAAATAATTATCAGAAGGTGTAAAGAACAAAGTTTTGATTATTTCATGTTTGTTATTTTGTAGTTTCCTGAATATTATTTCTGTACCAACAGGTGAGCAGAGAAAATAAGAGTTTCAGTTTAGGAGTTAAATAACACATACTTTCTTCCAGTTCTTGGACGCTTCCTTGTAAGTCAACTGTAAATGGATGGAGCTGGGGAAATAAGGGCAATTTGAGATAGGGTTATAAAAGTGATGACTCATAACTCATGAGGGCTTTAGGATAGAAGGAAAGAATTTTAGTTAAAAAACATCATTCAGTGTGCCAGACATAGATATAGTCATTGGGTATCATTTGCGAACAAAATGGTTAAAAATTCCTGCATTAGTGGAGCTTACATTAAGCAATCATAGACAGCGAACTTCAGTAAATTATATAGTATTGTAGGAGGTCTTAAATGCCATGGAACAAAGTAGAGCAGGGTGAAGAAGAGGTTTTTTGGATAGGGAGGTGAGGTAGATTAGGTAATCCTCAGGGGGTGTCCAGATGATCTGCAGCAGTGGTGCTTTTGTGTAGTTTTTGTACAAATGTTCAGAATAAATTTGCACCGCATGTGTGGATCTGACTGGGACAGAGCTTTGGTTGTGCTGCAAATTGGCCTCTGTGCATCTTCAAATTAAGCTAAACTCCCAGATGGTGCCTAACGTAACTTCACAGGAACCTAATTTAACTTTGTAGACTCAAATTTTTGAACAGCCTCAGCACCTGCTGTGTGCTAAGCATTGTGCAAGAAGTGGGACTCCAGAGGTCGTGGACAGTTTATAGTCATCTGTAATAGATGCAACATAATCATGGGGGTCCAAAGAATATGGAGCAATTTGTTCTATTTGGGCTGGAGGGAAGGTTTCATGAAAGAAGTGATGGATATTTAATGGAAGGGAAAACAAAAATTCTCTAAAAGATGAAGGGGAAATGGGAGGTTTCAGTCAGAGGAAACATGGAGGCATGAAATTGCCTGTGAATTCTCCATTTTCAGGTTTGTCCAAGAGGCTGTTGGAATTTTGAAGCTAGATGGGCTCTATCAGTAACATAGCTTACTCACCTCACCCCCTTTTTTCTGAAGTGATAAAATCACCAACTTTGGGTTACTGGCCTAATTACTGGCCAGAACAGAATTGGAACACAAGTCTCTTGACTTAAAGAGTTTTTCCTCTCCTGACATTTTATGCCTATAAAATTCAGGGAAATTTAGGATCAGAGTAAGTTTTTAATAGTCATTTAAAAAGGGTGTTGAATGTTCTCTGTGTTTCTGGCATTTTTAAATTGCAAGTCTCTCTTCTGACTGATGGAATTCCACAAATATTCCACAATAATTCCACAAGAAATATTTGACTTGAAACAGTTAAAACTAATATAGTTAACATTAAAATGCAAGTCTGTAGGAAAAGTGGTATAGGGATGTGAATGAATATAAACCAGGTTTATTTCTGTATAGGAAGAAACAAAGAGATAGACTGAGAAAGGAAGGAAGGAAGGAAATATTTATTGAGAATTATGCTACAGCCCTGGCTCATTTGGCTCAGTGGTTAGTGTTGGTTGGCCAAAGAGTCTCGGGTTGGATTCCAGTCAAGGGCACATACCTCAATTGCCGTTCTAGGTGGTGGTGTGGGAGGCAACCAGTCATTGTGTCTCTCTCACATTGTTTCTCTCTCTCCCCTCCCCACCCTTCCTCTCTTCCACTCTATCTGAACAAAAGCAATGGAAAAATGTCCCCTGGTGAGAATTAAAAAAAAAAAAAAGAATTATGCTACAAAGAAAAGGAGATCCAGGGTTTTGTTGTATTTGTATGTGTGTGTCTCTTGTTGTTGTTGTTTTTTTTTTTTTTTTTTATCCTCACCCGAGGATATTTTTCCATTTTTTGTACAGATAGAGAGGGAGGGAGAGAGAGGAACAGAGAGAGAGAGAGAAACATCGACGTGAAGGGACACATCGAGTGGCTGCCACCCGCACGACCAACCAGGGCCGGGGATAAACTGCAACCGAAGCACGTGCCCTTAGCGGGAACCGAACCCGGGTCTCTCCAGACCGCAGGCCGACGCTCTAACCGCTGAGCCAAACCGGCCAGGGCTGTGTGTGTCTCTTGTCTTTCTGTCTGTCTGTCTGTCTTTTCTCTCCTTTCTCTTGTCTCAGCCCATAACCCCACTTCCCTGATCTTTGTTTTCTGGCAAATGATTTTAGTGCTTCACATTTTCACCTGTAAAAAAAAAATAATAATAATAAGCTAAGTTACTATGTGCCAGGCATAACAGATACCCCATTTTACAGTTGAAGAAGTGTTGACCTGTACACCAAAAGGTCACCTGTTTAATTCCCAGTCAGGCACATGCCCGGGTTTCTGGTTAAATACCCAGTAGGGATGTGTAGGAGACAGCCAGTTGATGGTTCTTTCTCACATCGATGTTTCTGTCTTTTTATTTATTTATTTATTTATTTATTTATTTATTTATTTAGGTACGTGCCCCTAGCGGGAACCGAACCCAGGACTCTCTGGTGCGCAGGCCGATGCTCCAACCGCTGTGCCAAACCGGCCAGGGCTCTGTCTTTTTCTTCTTCTCCCTTCCTCTCTCTCTATAAAGCAATAAAAATAATAATAATATGCCCCAAATTATGTAGCCAGTCAGTGGTATAGCTGGTATTTGAATTCTGGCAAACTACACCCAGAGATCTTTTCTCATACTGCCTTATCTATAATTGATAAAATTATATAAAAAGGTAGTCTTCAGATAGGTCTTATTTTTAAGAGAAGTCTTATGTTACTAGGTGTTAATATCTCAGAATGCTGGGACCATTTTATAATGGTGGAAGAGAAAATAGAAATCTTTACATTTAAGTAATACTTTAAAATTATTATTTTTACTTCCATTTTTAGTGTAACAATGATAAACATATTGGAGAAATCACAAACTACTGACAAGAAAAGGAAGAAAATAAAATATCACTCATAACCCAGACTGTGTGGCTCAGTGGTTGAGCATCGACCCATGCACCAAGAGGTCACCGGTTCAAT